TTGTGGCTTGGCATTTTTCAAGCTTGAGATATTGAGAGATTTATTTGTTGTCATAAATTTGAACTACTTGCGTAAGTTATGTGTGCTTATAATTGTTTAATTGTAAATAGTTGCGGGCAATTTGTGGTGATTTTTCTACACAAAACGAACAAAGCTATTGATATTTTGAATGTGTTTTGTTTTCCCTCAGACTAAAATCGATATGAAATTGATATTCTTCGATAAATAGCAATTTTCTTGTTCACTTATCTTATATACTTGTTGTTTGTTTGGCTTTTATAGGAGTATTTGTTATTTGCTTTATTTGTTGAGCTATGAATATGCAAGCTCTGAGGCATGTCACTTTCTCAATTTTATAATTGATTAATGTCATTTTAAAGATATTTCATTTATTATTTATGCTTCCTTCATTTCCAAAAATATGTGGTATGTTTTGTTCTTTTAATTTGTGGTTGCTTGAGATATTTTGAATATTCTTTAATTGGGTGTTTTATTGCATTTTTGGAAAAAGTCTGCAGACGTATGGAATTCTTTATTTCATTGCCTTCGGAACGTATTACAGTATTTCATATGCTGTATTGTATTTCAATTGTATTTAATTTCCACATTGATTTTGGAATGCGCTCCAGGAATTTGAATAATGTATTTCACTCGCAAACATGCACAGCATTTAATAACTTTAATTTCGTGAGTAGCCTCTGGGAGCTTCACATTTTATCTCAAATCCTATACATATGCTATATTATCATACATAATTTTTGTTTCAAATCCAGTCGGAAAATACCAATAATGCATATCCAACATTGTATTTTTCGCTCATTATGAAAACAATTCGCCGTCTGGCACATATCACATAATTGTTGTCAGCATTTAGTTATTGTATTGTTAGCCTATAACAGATTTTTGTAAACCAAACCATATTAGTTCCACAAAATGGTTCATGAAACACATACCGCATATAGTGTATTTATGTACGTGTATACAAGTGCATTGATAGATATGTGCTTTGTTTTCTAAACACCCAATTAAAATTTAAAACATTGGGTAACTTTTTGTGTATCAGAAAGGCAGCAATTGTTGGCAACATATGCAAAATTATTGCAGAAACAACACATGCCAAATTTTACGAATAAATTCCGTAAAATTGAAATGAATGAGGCGTACAAGCCAACAGATACTGAGTGCAGCCACAATAATAAAAATAAATAACACCAATGCCGTGCAATGCAATTTCAAAAACGGCAACGATGAATTTTTCATGCAATTTGCAAATTAGTTAAAAATTGAATTATTTTTATATACACATAGCGGGGGAAATTATTTAATTTCAATGTTTTGTGGGAGTCTGCGATCGAAATTAAATGAAATTGCCAATTGCTGACGCATTTGCATTGAAGCTTAAATACATAGTTTTCCATAGACGGAAAATGGTCATATCGTATGTATTTATTATTTTCATTAGACAGAAAATAATAAATAAAATATACGGACTATAAAAGCGATTGATTATTTTTGTATACACAACTAAAAAGATCATCGTAGTTGGGTTAACCAAACAAACTACTGTACCAAAGACTAGGACACTTAAATTATTTAGTGTGTTTCTGCAACTCCCTTCCAAACGATCTATTAGCATTTAAAAAAAATTGTCTGGTTCAAAAAAGAGTATGTTTTAGAATTTCTTACTAACTCTTCAATACTTAACAAGCAGTTTGTAACCACAATATTTGTTTCAATTACGGCACAGTTCTGAAGGTAACAATTTTAGCATAGGTTTTGAAGATGTAATGTAAGACTCTCCGAAACTGGATCATGCATGTCCATTAAGATTTGCACCACCTATAAAATGTGAATAGCCTAATTGTAGTGCATTAAAATGCTATATACGAAACATTTTCACGATAAATCCATAACACATCTGAAAAAAAATATTTGTTTTTTAATGAAATATTGTATTTTGTAAGCGATACTATATACATTTTAAATGTATTTTATGAAATGGAATTTTAAGTTTTTTAATTAGTATAACTAATGATAAATTCATTATTCAAAAATTCGTTCACAAAATGGTTTGCTACATTTAAAAATTGAGAATAATTTGCTTCAAACACAATCAACAGCAGAATTCTGTCTTTTTGGTAATTGTAAAGCTTACATGTAAAAATTCGAATCTTTTTCTCTACAAAGCCGCGTTTAAAGGAACGTACCAACAACATTGAGTAGAAATAATTTTACCGCCTTAAAATGCAGTTCAAATGGCCCATAAACCACTGTGCATTGTTGCCATATTTCGAAAATTTAGCTGCCGTGCATCTAATTTGTAGCTTGTGTGCCTGTGTGATACAAAATTTTGTGCAGCGTGCATAAATAATAAACGGTAAGCGCACACACGTACACACGCACACACGCGTACTCCCACACAAAGGCATTATGCACATTTTGCAACTCAAACAAGAAAAAACGCGGGCGCCGTAAACCACGAAGAGCTGCCAAAGCGCCGTGTGAGAAGGGCAGGGAAGTCAGCAGCTTCTAAATTTATTTTATTAAGTCAAGCACGCACACAGACACGCGCAGACAGGCAGACAGCTCACATGCTGGTGTTGGTGCTGCAAGCCGTCGACTAACGGTATAAATAAAATAATTTACGGTAACTGCTGCCGCTCATCAAGCTTAAAAAAATAGAAAAATAGAATAAAACTGAGCGGCATGTTGACAAGACCCACTGCAGGATCATCAACGTTGGCAGCTGTTTGCGCTGCTGCTGTTGCCTTAGCCCTTAAAATGGCGACAAACACACCCATATACGCACAGATACACCCACACACATGCATGCATACAAGCGCAAAAGTGTGCTGGTATGTCACATCCTGCTTATATTTTTGTAGCATACTTTTTTGCGCGACGCTTTTGTGCGCATCTCTTCTATATGCTAAAAAACATTGTGTATGCACATTTACATCGCGTAAATGCACAAAAAAAGAAGAACATTAAAATGTGGTAACAAAGTAAAAAGAGATAGAGAGTGTGCAAAAATGTTTCGCATGCTAAATATAGTTATAATTATGCGCACATATTTTTAATTAAGTTTGTCGTTTTCTTTTTTTGTCCAGCCTCGCTAACTGCTCTATCTGCTTGGTAGGATCTCACGCCTGCCTGTGCTTAGCTAAATATTATGCATACGCCCTGTTAAATTGCATTAATATGCACATTTGTATTCATGTATGTTTGTGTATCGTGTCGAGTGTTTGCCAAATAACATACATATGTTTAGCCTTATTTGTTGTAGTTGCCGTAACGTAGCTGTTACGCGAGGTTTTTTTCGGAATTCACTACATGAAGGACGAGTTGGGTATATTGTGTTAAAGGACACGTATGTTACAATCATTTTTTTAAAAGCCAGAATTTCAGTAATAACAATGGAGATTCACACTCCTTTGATCCTGCTGCTGGGAACACTTAGCTTATGCCTCTACAAATGTTTGCTTATGTTAAATATGCATTAAAAAACACAAACATTTGTTTTATCGTAAGATATAAAAAGCGTAACGCGCTCCTCAATTTGCATTAATGTTGGATAAGCTTTTCCATTAAATAAATTAATATATTGTATTTGCACCAGAATTGAAACTTAAGTAAATTTAAAAACATTTCAACTTTTTATAAAATATTGATAAGATTATTTTGCCAACATGAATACAGAGCTTCTGATAGTCGAATAGGTTTCACTTTGGATCCAACTTTTTGAGAATTAGGTTGATAGAGCCGTGCATTAAAAATATTTTGTTTTTCTAAAGTTTCATGTTTGGGCATTAGATTGTTCAGCAGATTGCTAAAATAAATAATATGTAAATCATATCTTATTTTATCTAATCCTACCTGATCCTTTCTTATCTATCGAGTTGGAAACTTCCTTTTTATTATTTGGTAGGCGATATATGACCTCCATTTGTTTAATGTTATAAAAACAGAAAGCTTATATAGTTGTTCAGAGCTCCACTTACCACATTTCATATCTTTGTGCTTTTACAGCTCATGAATGCTGTTAAATATTTACAATATTATTAAAAGTTTAACTGCATTGTGTTTGCATCTTATTTGCATATTTGGCTGATGTTGCACGTGTTGCATTGACCGCCGTCTTCGCTTCAAATACACAAAGCGGTTTGCAAAACTTTTGTTATTTGAAACTGCGGCAAGTTTTTTGCTTGGCAAGAAAGTTTTAAATATGATTTTATTTATATGGCAAGTTCTGGGATGGAGGGGATGTTTAAGGATGATAAAACAATATTGTGCTGGTTATGGCTAACAAAGGTCATATGCTATAACATTTTGAAAGAGACAAATCAGTTATGAGCTGATTCTTAAAGCAACATTGTCTTGCCAGCAGCACTGTCTTTAATACTCAGCCAGCGTCTTATAAAAAAATAGTGTCTAAACGTTTAAGAAACTTAAATCATGACACATTCTCTTTTCTCATTTTTTGTATGCATTCTTGTCGTCTTCAACTTAAATGCATTTTGGCGTTCGCTTGTCTCAAGTGCTCCGAGCTGGCCGCCAGCTGTCTGCTGTCATTCCTGCCTATCCCCCTCTGTCTAGGTCCGCCTGTGTGTCTGTCTGTCTGCCTGGCTTTGCCTGCTTGCCCGCACGTTTTGCGTAAAGAACACGAAGCATTTCTTAAAATTTCATTGGGGTTTGCTGAAAAACTTTCTCTGTTGACTTGCCCGTTTTTCAAGCTCCTTCATAGTGCGTCGTTTTTCTTCTTCTTTTTTTTGAATTACTGTAATGATTTACATTGAAGTGAAGTGGTTATTGCAACATTTTGGATGGCCCAGACAATCGTTGTGCGATTTGAGGCATCGTACTGATGCTAAGCTATGTCTCAGGCCCAGTTGATTGCAGAAAGTATCGCTGTCCATCATACTAGGGGCTTAACTTATTTTGAACAGTTCTTTAATAGTATTTCGTTTGGTGAGGTAAAGAAAAGTAAAATTCCAAAATCATTCAGTTTTGGAATAAATGTGCCTTTTTAATTTGTTTTTAATCTTCTTTACAGTTTCTGTCTCGCCCTGTCTTGTTATAGTATTGATTACAAGTTATATTAGATAATGTATTAATTGGGATTGTGTGTTTTGAGAACGATGTAGACAGCGAACGCGCATTAGACTCGTAGGCAGTACTCAAGCTCAAATGACAGCTTATATGCACTTTGCTGTTCTCAATTATTTGGAGAACATTTTTGTTGCTCGGTAGTATTTGTTGGCGATTTTAATGGGGAGTGGATGCGCCTCTGTGCTGAACACCCATTGACTAAACGGCAAAGTGCTGTCTTCGGTGAAAAGCAAGTATAAATATTTAAGAGTCTCTGACAGGAAGAAACTCTGTTGTACATCATCCTTCTCGCTTTTCACATCATAGACGTTACGTAATCCAGAGTAGCCGGCTGCGGTGCGACAATGTTTTTCAAGTGCTTCGACCACCTCCCAGCCCCAGTCACGATATTTCCGATCGTGAGTCAGACGCCAGAGAATAAAATAGCTCTCAACTGTCTCCGGTCGTAGTAGGAACTCCTTTTCCCTATTTTCTATACCAATTGCCTCCGTACCCTTCTTAAAGCGAAAGGTTTCCGGACCCAATTTGGTAGCTGTACGTATATAGCTTTCTCGGCAAGTGTTCGTAATGCCTATGGCCGTGTTCATGTATTTCTTGGAATTGCCATCCGCTTGGGTATGAGCGCCGAGGGCTATCATGCCGCCGGCAAAGCAGGCCAGATGGTCCATCTTGTGAATTCGTTCGTTGCTCTTCATTTCCGCCAGGTAGGTAAGGCCACCATCGCTAACCACCAGAAGTTGTGCCATCACCGCCTCCATTGCTTCGTCGTACATTTGTCGAGCTTGAAAATCGGCCTTGTTCGACTGTATCCAGGATTTAAGCAAGTACTCGTAAAAACTATCGCCCAGGCCTCCCAATGAGACAGCGGGCGTGCCCCATTGGCCTGAGTTTGGGTCTACATAGTTGAAATACAGTCCCTTTGGCTTCTTCATCTTTTTCAACCGGTTGCGAATGGCCTGGACAAGTTTTAGGTACTTGGGATCTCCCGTAATGTCACTGAGATATGCAAACTCCAGATGAAGGGTGCCGAATTCTGCGAGTATTGACGCTTTTCCAGCTGCCCAATTATAGTTCTCGGCTGCGCCGGTCTTAAAGTTAACCAAAGCATAGGGTATGCCCGTCGCGGTTCGGAAGGCCGGCAACAGCTTCTCCGCTACCATTTGGGCCTTGTTCTTGTACAATGGATCTCCAGTGAAGGCGAAGAGGGTTAGGAAGCCACCTAGGTATCGAATATTTGTCTCAAACACTGAAAAGACTCCATTGATTTCTAATGAAAATTTCTGCTCTACCCACATGCGTGCGGCCTCATACTCTTCCTTTAGGCCCATCAAATAGAGTGTGTCCATCGAATCGACAATAGTCAGACCCAGAGGATGGGAACCAAAAACGCTTCCCGGATTTTCTTTTTGCGACACCGGCTTAACTTCATTCCAGCCCCAGGCATATTTCTTATATCCGTTCCACGCATGCTTCATCATCTCAATGACTTTTAACGCTTTATCCTTCATTTTTGGATCGACGGTAGCACCCATTGGCAGAACCAAAGGGGCCGCTAAATGGTTAAAATATCGTTAGCCTATTGTCATGGAATTACTTATGTAATTCCTCACCTGATTTCATTCTAGATTTGCTTCTCCCTCGTGCGGCAATACAATTCCCAATGATGATGCATAGAATAAAAAGCGTTATGCATTTCCCAGCCATCGTCAAAGACATGCAATATCCAAATAGTTTCTAGCAAATGAAATGCTAGATATTCTGAAATCTAGCAAGTGGTACAAATGTGTAGAAAATGCGAATCAAGGCATAAATAATTGCACAAGAGAACAAAACCAAATAATATGAAAATATTAAGTTATTCAATAGCTTATTGAAGCACTTTCGAACTTACCGAAGTATTTCCACCAAATGTGTTTGATTTCTGCAAAAAGGCACTTTATTGTATATTCTGAGTTACTGTTGATTTAATATTGTATTTTTTTTAAGCACCATTCATTTAAAACTTTAACTAAGTGCTCTACTAAAAATATATCCAAATTCTGTGAAAAATTGACGTAGTTTCTTGTGGAAATGTTGCCGTTTGCTGATGTCGGCATTTGCCGCGGACCTATTTTATAGTGCAGTAGAGTCGCGAGTCTAATACAAAAATTCACCAAATTAAAACAGGTGTGGATATATTATATATGCACACAATGTGGCTTTTTCATCGATTAGTGCTACCGCGATTATGCCAGCACGAATGCAGGAATTCAATTTAAGAATCGGCAAATAATGACAGCATTAACGCAAATAAACAAATCGTAAATCCCATTTTAAGTTTATCAACAAAAATGTTATTTTATCTCAATTTGAAAATAATATCAGCTTTTCAATAGCATTTTAGTTTCTCTTTTGAAGATATGGTCCGGAATGAAACTTAAACTCTAAACCTTTTCCTAGAGAATAACAGAGCTGTTCTAATTTTCAAAATGTATGTTAAGCTTTGCCATAAATGTTAATCATAGCACTTAATTGTAAATAATTAAACTGAAACGCAAAACAGATTACTGCTAATTCATGATATGAAGTGGGGCACATTTAATTTCTTGGTTAAAACAAGATATAAACCAAAAATGTGGATAACTAATCCGCTCTTTGTTACGACACGTAGCTACTGTGGTGAGTCAAGCTGCTACAAATTTATTTCAATGCACCATTTACCAGAGGTAGTGAATTAATTAATAGTGTTACTCAATAGTACGATAATTAATTAGTTGTGTTAGTAATTATTTTGTTCTATCAACAAAATATTGAAGTCGTACGCAGAGTACGAAAGAAAAACCATTTGCTATTAAACGATGTTGTGTGTGTGTTTTTAAAGCAAAACTGAACCGGTTTCTGTTGCTTTTATTACATAAAGCAGTAGTTGATGTTGTTGTTAGAAATAATTTGAAGAAGCAGCGAAGAATGCTTCGATTCTGATTTGATGACAAACGCTATTCCTAATGACTGTTCAAAGAACTCTGAATTCGAGGTAAAAAAAAAAAGGAAAAGCAATTCGTAGTTAATCTAATGTAAACTGTTAATAATAAATAAATTACCATGGGATCAGTGAAGTTTTTTTTTGCAAAACAACTTATAAAATATAAATGCAATAGTATTTTAAAGATAAGGTTAGTATTTAGTGTAACTGGTTTAACGAATATTAGGGATTGGAAGGCAGAACCACACATTGACAAAGACACATACTTCGAAAATTGGAGATGGGATAACACATATTTAAGTATTTTCAAAGTTAAACAAGCATTCAGGCCATATCTTCGATACATTTAATTGTTAATTTAATTCACAAAAACAGATATTCAGCCCAATAGCATGCTTCTTGTGGAAATTTCACCACTTATGCTGCTCTTATATATAAAATATCCTTTGTGGTATTCTAAGCAATTCAGGTAGAGAACAATTCATTTAGCATAATATGTGTTACCCCAACTGTTATGTTCATTAGCCACATGCCTTGTGTCCGAAATTTGCTATAATTGGGCCACAAGAAATTTCATTTTACACTTACGAGCACATTCGAACATCATTCTTGGCACTGTGCTGGACAATGAAATCAAGTTCTGCGGCTTACCCACAAAGTGAAAAGCTTTTGTCGTATCAATTGCCAAGTAGTGCTGCCTACATCACGGCTACTTGTATTTGGTCTCCTATAACTGCGACTGCCACTTGACATTTCTTGCAGACCGTATTCAGAGCACTCAACACGTTTACTTCGTTAGTTTTCAAAGGCAATGCAACAGCATCCGAAATAATTTTATGTTTTATGAGAAGTGACATCTGCCAACAACAGGCAACATTTGCCTGGCCACACACAACTATCATGCATATACAATGCCAGTGACTCGAATAGAATATAACATTATATTCTAGAAGAATGAGATGCTTTTGAGTATGTTTTTATGCATTCATCGGTTCGTGCGTTTGAATTTATTGAATACGAGAAGTAGAAGTCGTACGTCTATTTATCTAAATATCTATTCGTCTATCCTAGCTCTGACATATATGTATGAGCATGATCATTTTTTTGGTAGCCCCACATATTGATATTTATCGAATTTATGACGATGATTCTATTCATGCGGCGGCTACTGTAAAGTGTAGCTTTGTCTAGTGTCAGTTGTATTGCGTTGCTTCACTGCCTTGGTTGTGTGTGCGTCTGTGTTTGTTTGTCTGCGGTTGCTGTTGCAACATGTTGTAAATTATTATAAACTCAAGTGCTTTTCAAGGGCCGGTGTGTTGCTTTTTCCTGTGTGTGTGTGTGTATGAGTGGCAATATTTTATTGGAAGTGGGACAGGTTGGACCACTTGCATTCAAGTGGTTTCAAATGAAATGAACGATATCACTGAGAACAAAAGCTTGAAAGTAAAATTTTATTAGTATGAGTATCTGTTGAATCATGTAATCATGAATTCATTATATAATTCAAGTGAAGGCTCATAAAGAAAGGTCGAATTTATTTTTAAAAAAATTATTAATAATTTGTTTAATTGTATTGTTTAAATACATGAACATCTTATATTCCTTTAAATTAGATTTCGTAAACTTGTTTAATTATTTAGTTTTTCGTTAAATAAAATCAAAATTGCTTGTTTTTAGATTATTAATTCTTTACGTTTACGATGATATTTAAGCTAAATAGCACAACATATTTGCTCTTTATATACGTTCTCATTACCTTGGCTGTATGCCATGGTGCATCACTGATTGAAAACTATATTTTATTTTTAATTACAAGGCCTCGTTTTCCCCCTCTCTTAACTTTATTCCCTTTTCATGCTTTGCATTAAATCTCATGTTTTATTCTAATTTATGGTTGTACTTATTTAAAAAATGAATAAAAAATAAAGTGGCAACTTAATTTGCAGTGCCATTTTTCTTGCCAACACTAACAATTGCAACAAAAGCAACAATAACAGCAACAACAACAACAACAGCGACTACGACAACACTTCAAGCAAGGACTAGGGAGAGAAGGCAAAGAAGTGACAAACAACTGAGCGAAAATCGCGTGCGTGACGCGTAACGCGTGAGGCGAGCGCCATAAACTTTCTGACACGTTTCCCCAGTTGCATTTTCAGGCAAAAAGCAAAACTTGTAAAATGACAGAAAAAAAACAACTGAACTCTGCAGCCTGCAAACCATAACTATTAAATACACTACAGTATAGGCGTTAACAAACACATCTGTCTAATGAAAATTATATAGCATACACTGTTCAAAATAAGTTGTTTTTAAAATGTATTATAATTATTATTATTACTAGCATGTCCTGCACTAAAAAGACTAAGCCCCAAAAAAAGGCAGACGATTAGCAGGCCTGAACGATATAAACATATCTGTCCGTTTGTACGTCCGCCTGTTCGTTGATCTTTAAATATTGATAAATAATGAATTGTTGGTAGGTTCGAAAGTCGAAAGACCAACATATTTATAATCGTTTTTTTTGATGAACCTTTTTATGATTGCATTTATAATGTTTGTTTGTTTGATTTATATGTTTAGCCACATGTTTTCCTATTCGAAGAGTTGCCTTTCATCGGTTGACCTTAAAAAATTGGTTCCAATTGGTTGAATTGGTCGACCTGTTTGCCGCGGGGCCGTACATACCTTAGCCTGATTCCATCATACCCTTTTGCGTTTTGGTTGTTGGGTTTGAAAAAAAACAGAGTGTGTGTTCACCGGCTAGAGGGAAAAAGAATGTGCAGTGCGGCGACTGCGACGGCGACGATGGCGACACTTTAGTGCCAAGCGCGTTGCATACTTTTCGGCTGCAAACTTAATTTGCAAAGGCGCGTCGCTTATGCAAGTCACGTTAATTTCGCCAGCAAGCCGTGACGCAAAACAAAAACAAAAAGGCGTCTTTGCAGCAGTTGTTGTTGCTGGCGACTCCACAGAACTTTTGCCATTTTCAAAAGGGCTTTAGTCTTTAGCTTGTGAAGCTGGCAGGTGACTAGCCTGCCGCCCCTCTTTGTGGGCGGTCAAATCATATACATATACAACCATAAAAGGAACGAGCAACTTATTTATATTCGTGGCTTTGGAGAAGCGGCCACGATGCGGCACTCATTAAGCATCTTTAGTGTGTTTATGTACATCATCATAATGTAAATTGGCTTAATTTGAAAACATTTTTTGATGCCAAAACTTTGGTTGCTATTTGATGAGTAGACACCACTTGAATGAGGGAGAGGGAGTGCGAGAGAGAGTGACGGAGAGGGGGGCGGAGAAGACAGGAAGCTCGTAATAGAGACGCATCTGCTTGTCTTTGCTTGCTAATTTATATGCCCCTTGGACATTCGCGTCGGCCAAAAAGTTGTCGGAAGTTTTGCCAAGTCGGCGTTCCTGCCGCTACTTCTTCGTCTTTATCTTCATATTGTTGTTGTCGCTGCTGCTGTGGCTCATGTTGCGGGTTAATAAGCCGACAGCAGCAACGTCAACCAACAAATTGCCAGCATTACTTTGCCGAGACGCCTGAAAATAGACTTCTGAGCGTTGCACTTACTTAGGCCGGCGCCTCGCCTTGCCTTCGTCCTGACGTCGTCCTAGCTGGTCCTGGTCGGTCGGCTTGGCTTGGCTTGTTGACTTTGCCAGCAGCGGCACAAGTGTCAAAAGCGCAGGCAATTAATTTGGTCTAATTAGACTCTCGGCTGAAGAAGCAGAGTCTCCGAAACTCTGACATTTTGTATTGCGGTTGTCAAAGCGCTGTAAAGCGCCAAAGGACTTCAGAACAAGAGGAAGACAAAGATTGCTCCATTGAGCGATTTATGGCTGCGATTTAAGGAAAGGCGGAAGTGTGGGAAGCTGGTAGGCAACTGTTTTAAGAAGTTTTCAAAAACGTAGGCAGTATCTAACGTGAAAAATTAAAAAAATGTACAGATTGATGTTCTGATTATTCAGTTAGATGGAAACAAAAGCTATGTAAATAAAACTAAGTCACATTTCAAATTAAAAACGTTTAACACTGTCATAAAATTGCAGTTTTAGAAGCTTCTGAAATAACTTTACGAAATTTGTCATACTTTTTGGCATTTTGTGGTACAGAGTCATTGGCTTGGACCATTTAACAATCTGTACTGGCCTTATAATTTGGGTCTGTCCGGCCTGGCCAATTGCAGAAGGCACAAATGCATTTAACTGCCTTTTCGTCGCCCTCGCATAAAGCGTCGTAACAGTTTCAAATATTTCTATGTCGGCCCATAATTTGTTTAACAACTTTTGCCAATAGTTGGCAGTGAGCCCTCGTTGCTGCCTGTTAGCTGCTGGCTGTTGGCCAATTTCTTCGACACTCCAGCGTTTATACATATAATAATTTTCCAACATAATTTATGGCCGATGAAAAGTTTTCTGCGGCCAGGCGAGCTCATGCCCGACTCGACTTCGAGCTCCAGCTCGACAGAGGACACAATTGCCACTATAATGTTTGTTGTTGTCGACGTCGACGTCTTTAGTGAACATTTTACATTTTATTTAATGCCACATGCCAAAAATGCTCGTTGTTGGCCAAAACTGGGCGACAATCGCCAACAGCCGCCCCAAATATGTAGTTTGTGCATTTTGTGGCCGCTTATCGAAGGACATGAAAAACAGGACTCTGCATAACAAACTTCAAATTGATTTTAAATGACAATTTTCTGTTCAGCAGCAGCCTTGTTGAAAGAATTCAAGAATGCAACATATTTTTAAAACTGTTATCATCCAGTCATTTGTAAATGCCCTTTTAATATTTTCATGCTTTTAAAGAATTTTACATTGCAGTGGGGAAGTCCTCGAATGCCAATAAGGCTTGCAAAGTATTTTAAAAAGCAAAGAAATATTCTTCGAATATTTGATTAGCAATTGGTAAATCAAACAATCCAACTTGAATTCGAATTCATACTTGTATGTAAGACTTCTTTTATGAAGAACAGAAAACTTTGACATACTGGTCAACAAAAATATTTTGGCAAAAACCAAATGAGACAATTTTCTGTTTAGCTTTTAGTTGGTTTTATATAACAATTTATATATAACATCGTAACTATGCTTTTAATGTGCATTTTTTTTATGTAAATGTGATTTTAAGCAGTTAATTGGAGATAAGATATTAAAATGAGACTGAAGCAGTTGGACTAACAACTAGCAACAACTGCAGCTGCATGACGAATTGATATTGGATTTCTAGATAGCGCAGATTCTGCTAGAAAAGTTGCGATAGCTGGCAACATGTGGCCGAAATGTGAGCAGAGTTCAATAAGAGCTTCTTCCGATAAGAAAGATGCGCGAAGTTGCTCAAGGCAGAATGTCGACGTGTTTTATTGTACATGTGTACATATCTTCTTCTGCTGTGTGTTGGTGTTGTTGTTGTTTGTGTTGTTGCGTGGCACGTAATGAAATTGAGACAACGAGCCGAGCTTATCTCGAGTTTACTTTCTGCCGTCACAATGTACATAAACATATAGAGACACGCACACATGCGCACACAAATAAACAAAAACAAATGATAAATACAAGTATAAAACAGGGGCTGCTGGTTTGCGAAATTTCTGCTTTTGTGGTTCGTAGAGATTCGAAAAATGATCAAATAATAATAAAAGATAAAAATGATTATTAAATGAGGCAGGTAAGGCAATGACTCACAAATTGCAGCCATCTATGCATAAGGTGAAGGCGAGTGAGAGCACGACAGAGAGAGAGATAGGGAGAGAGCAAATTAATATAAAAGAGAGAGAAAGGGAGAGAGAGAATTCGATCGTGTAGCTGGTTTGAGCATTTGTAAGATACAAATGTGAATACTTAAAAAGCAAAAACTTGTCATGAGAAAAAAGCAACAATCGAAACAAAAACTCTAATAAATGAGTTGTGACTTCCCCCTGCCAACAGTGTTGTCACTTTAGGAGCTACAAAAAGATAGATACATAGATAGATAAGACAAAATGGAGACAGAAAACATCAATTGCATTTCTACAATTTTTTAATTATATGAAATATGACAATGACTTGTCATACCAAAAATGAACTTACACTTTTTGCAATCAATAATTTGATTTATTCATTGAAATCTGTATATATAATTAAGAAATAAATTATGAACAAATCATACTTAGTAGCCCTTGTATTCAATGCTTTGCATCCACACATCCACATATACTAAAAGTTACTAATTTTTTAAAAATATAAAATAAATGTTGATTTAAATTACAGTTGCATAGCTTTTTAAACAATTTCGAACTTTAAAATAGGCAAATCTAGCTTGAAAAAGCTAAGCTGGCACTATGGTCGAATAACCATTTCTGTGGCTCGAAATCGACAGAGAAACCGCGCGAGAGATATGTGTGTGTGAGTGCGTTCATTGCTGAGAGCGCTCAAAGCACAGTTAACAGTTACATATGTATTACGAGTTGGCTGGTGAGCGGCTAGGTATCAGCACTCGCGCTCAGTTCCATTTCTGCGCTGGTGGTTAAAGGCTGTTGATTTGAATGGTTTAATGCGCGTGTGAAACGGTTACGAAACGGTTAAAAACGGCATAAAGCCGCTCGCTCGCCTTTGAGCCAAGCTTCGCTTTGGGTGTGCCACACAGAGTCTCAGTTGCTCGACGACAGCGCGTGAGTGGCCAACGCACACATAAACGGAAGCGCTTGCCGTGTTGTCGGCATTTCGTGTGCGAGAAATAATTTGTTGTTGGTTTAAACGGCCAGCAACTCAACTCAAGTGTGAATTTAAATTGAGGTTATGTAAGGTGTATAACAACGGAAAAAATAAAACAAGCCACCAATTGCAGTGCGACGACATTCACGAAACTTGACAAAACAAACACGTAGAACAGTTTAAGGCACGCGCACTTCGCACATTCCTCCCAAACACAAATACAGACAGACTTTAGATATATAGACATGGACATGGACAAGGCGCAGGCGCAAATGCCAACGCATCCGTTGCAGGATGTTTCTCTGAATGACGATGATGCCGACATAACCAATGATGACGTGCCAGCGTCGGTGACTGCAAAGGCGCCCAAAAATTGGGTTAAGTTCGACGATGAGGCGGACAACAGTGAAAAAAATAATAACAGTAGTGGCGGCGGTGGAGATGCCATACAACAACAACAGCAATCGACGTCGCAGCAGCAGCATAACAAGTTAGCGTTGCCGCCGCCACCGTCTGTGGTGAGCAGCAACAACAACAGACGCGCGCGCTCGCGCAGTCCAACTACAACAACAGCTGTAGCAGCACCTGTGCAGGCAAGTCTCTCTTTCACTCGCGCTCTCTCAATCTCTTTCTCTGGTACAACTCTCAGGCGCGGGCGTTCAATGAAGTTCAGCGCATTCCAATGGAGCGCACGTTTTTGTTGTTGCTGCTGCTACCTTTGCTGCACTTGACAAGTCAAGCCAAGCAAAAGCAGCAATAGTAACAACAACACAACTGTTTTACTCTTATCGCAATGTTTTCATACCCTTCACTGAAAAGTGTATGCGTATATTGGAATAGGTGTGTAAATTTGTGACACCCAGAATACGCGATTTGTGTCTGTTCGAATCAAAACTCCTCTTACAGTTTAATAGCTTTTGCACTGAAACACAATATTAACTACTATTAACGATATATAACTATCATAGAAACGATATTACATATATAGTTTCAGTGCCACATTAGTCGAATTTCATAAGTGTTTCACCAATGGCTGGGCAAACGATTTCTAAAGAAAAACTAGATAGAACGGGCACAGTGGAATACATATTTTGTGGCTCATCGCCAAGAAGAAATAATGTTATGGGTTGTGTAAAGGGTATATAGAATGCTTCGTCGCCTGCCGTTTCAAAAGTACCTGTTGATTTTCCTTGTGTGTCTGTAATTGTTTGTTTATTCGTTTCCTAATGAAGTTGTTGTAAGAAATTCTTTGATTTCCATTGTTTTTTTTTTTGTATCTGGGCACGACTGGGATGACGGTCACGCGTCATCGATTTCTGCGTATGGTGCGTTGCGTTGCGCCGTTGAAATTCAGTTGCTTACCTCTTTAGCTTGACTCGCTCATGCTACGGCATGCATGTTGCATGTACTTGGCGACACATCATGGACAATATGTTAATATGTGTCATGCGTCATGGGCAGTGGAGAGGTCTTTTAACTTTTTTTGGGGGTCAATGCAATGACGAGTAGAATAGGCTGTTGGAACTTTCTAAAATAACCGGATTTACACTCAACAATTTCTAAGGGTATGGCTCAATTTTATACAATCAGATTCAGTGTTTTAAAAGAAGATTTTATTTCACTTCCTACGTATTAGAAACCAAAGACGATATATAATTAGTTACATATATATTTTTATCCGTTGTTATCAGCGCGCATAGCAGAGGCAAGATAAAAAACGCATAAAAATTGTTTCGTTAATTAGTTTTTTTTCGAATAGACCGATTTGGAAATGTAAACTAAAGCTTGAGAATTACATATAAATTACGTTGAACAGATTAGTTTAGGTACGTGTGTTGGACATATTTACAATTAAAAATAATGATTAAGAATATATACTATATGTTGGAGATGCTCCCTTCTGTCTGTGACATACTCTGAAAAAAAACCTTATATACCCTTTTCATCCATCAGGAGCGTTTTAAATACTGACATACTCTGAAAAAAACCTTATATACCCTTTTCATCCATCAGGAGCGTTTTAAATACTTTGTTATTAAGACAATGCCCCCTTTTATATACTGCTATAAATATTTAAGCATGTTCGTAACACTCGCCCACATTTGTGTTATACATATGTGCAAATATCATAATAGCCGTGCTAAAGATAAATACTATAAATACGTACTCATGTCTGTTCTCGTGTATGAACAGCTTTTGTTTAAGCAATTTTCAAGCTCCGACGTCAATATTTATTTACTGTATACCGGTAAAATATAAACAAAAAGAGTGATTAATTAAAGCGAATATATAGAATGTGCTACACGGCAATAAATATCGGTGCATTTTAAAATCTTAGATTTATCAGTTCGTCGATTTTTAAACATGCAGTGCTATTATAATAGGACGAAGCTAAGTAAGCAGAGGCGTTGGTTTTTTCAAAATTTCTAAAACCAAATATTTCTGGTCACTCAAAAGATATACAATTACTTCATTTCATTAGTTTCATAATTTACTAAAAGTCTTTCGAGCCATCAAGATGGGGAATCGAAACCCAGGCTCCAAATCTTGTTGCTTCAAAGTTAATATGCTCGAAATGTTGCAGTGATTTACTTATTAGCAGACAAATTAATATTTACTTGCTAAATTTGTATATATATACTACATATAGCCTGATTGAATAACAGAAAATCACATACTAGGTATAGAAATAGCAGCAGATTCGATCAATTAGTTGCCAGGCAACGGGTCGTATGCGTAATGTTTTACAATGAGCTACGGTTCATGTGAAATTTATAATTTAAAATTAATAAATTATAAACAAGTTGCAATATTCTAATGTTTTTATATTTAATATTGGCATTCATTTCCCTAGTTATTAAATCTTTCGTTTTTAAACATGGTATATACCCTGTATATATGCATTGAATTAAATCCGAATTGCAAAGGAAATAGATAAAAAAAAACTTTGAGCACGCTCAGCTAGTTAGCAATTTATAAGGCCCATTAAAAAAGCGCGCAATTTGCGGCTCCACCTTGGAGCTTTTTCGGAGGCCCCCTTTAAGGCATTCCAACGCTACAAATAAGCCGAGGTTTATTTTTTTTGTGTGCTGCGTACGTGCAAAATAAAAGTTTTTGTGCATTGCGATTGAAATTGTAACTAAACGTGGCAGCTAGCGAGCCAGCTTGTCACTCATTGTTAGCAATATTTCACAGTTATTTGTTTGGTTTGTGGCGGGAAATCAATAGAATTGATTTTGTTTTCCAAGCTCATTACACACATACAAATGCATATCGCAAAATTTGCATAATATTTTCATGCGCTGACGTTGACGTTCATGTAGACGTCGACGTGCTAAGTCTTGGACTCGGGCCTAGAACTTGAATTCAGCATTAACCTATTGTTGTTATTGTTGTTTCCATTTGCAGCGTTCGACTGTTTCCTCCACCACAACAACAACAGCAGCTGCCACGGCAGAAACGGATGTGGCGCCCGCTGTTTTGACAACCGAAAGCATTCACGTAAACTTGAATGCATCCGGTAGCGCTGCCGGCCTGCCCAGTAGCAGCAGCTCGAGTCGACACCAACACCAGCTAATAAACCAAAAAGCCAGTGCAGCAACATCAGCGGCAACCGCCGCCTCAACTACGCCCAGTCAACAGAATGGCAACAGTGTGAAGTCCAACTCCCATCCAAATGCCACCGTTGGGGGCAGCGGTGGTGGTGGTGGTGGCGGCGGCGGTGGCAACGTCAATATTACCGTGGACCAAGCAGCCGGTATGCGCACAATAGAACTCTCAACGGGCCGCATACGTGAGGGATTCGGTAAGTCAGTCGAAAGACATACATATATCTAAATAAGCTGATCAATTGTTAGGAATTTCTTTATTCTCAATCAGTCTATACACATGCTTTCATATTTTACGCTTCAAAGGCAACAATCCACGCAATACATATTTTGATTTCCATATTACAAACCAACCTTTCATCTAATAATTTCTTTTTGGGAAGGAAAGTTGAATTGCACAAGGAGATTATATCACGATTCAGAAATGTAGAAATGTAGATATTTGCAATTAATTTTTTGTTTTTAATTGGATATCACCAGCATGAGGTTACTCCTCTTTTTCTGAAAATAATTCTCTTTTTTTGGCCAAATTGTAAAATATTATGTGTTTGTTGTGAAAACATTTCTTCTATTTAAAAAAAAAATTGTTGTATTCAGTTTGTAAACCTTTTGGAGAATATTGGAAATATGTTCCTTCTTTCGTTGATTTTAAACTTGTTTGTGCTTGTTTTATATAGTATTTGAGAGCTTCTTATAGGTATTCAATATGTGTATATTATCAGGATAAGAAAAAATAATTCCTTGGAAACATTATATAAGAATTTAGGGGTCCGCTTATAAATTCTACTAACAATAATTGGCACTTCGGATTAGTTGGACTGTTTTTCTGGAACTATTCGTAAATTTGGAAACCAAAGAAGAACAAAATTCTTTGCGATTTATCTTGAATGTTAACTTATGTGTTATGGTGCTGTATTTAAATATTTAGTTAATTAACGTAAAAAAAATAAAGACAACAAGAAGTTACAACACCTAAAATGTACATAAGACGAACAGATTAAAGTGTATGAAGATCGTGGCATATTATTAAGCTAAACCAATGGCCGATTTATATTGGCATCGTTAAATGGATTTGCCAATTACCACTTTTTAACCAATGTGCCACCTTTAATAGCCAATGGGGATGTGATTGTTACGCTACTGCCGGCCAACACCAAATGGCCTTGGATCACGCCGGCCATATTTCGGCCGGAGCTGGTGCCGGAGGAGCTCATGGCCCAGGGCTTGACGGTGAGTGTGGCTTATAAATCGAGGAATCAAGTGAGCTCGCCTTAAATCAAACACTGCCCCTTGCAGCTGACGGTGGAGGACTATGTGAATGCCATGGAGACGCTGGTGAACGATTATCGGTTTACGGTGTATAACATTTGCTATAAACGCATTCTGGTCTGCTGGATACTGTTCGCCTTTGCCGTGCTGCTGGCGCTGCTCTTCTCGGGGCTGCAGGGCGCGGCACTGTTCGCATTGGGCGTGGGCTGGCTCTTCCTCAATGCGGCTGCCATATTTGTGTGCATGTGGGTGAAGCTGCGATTGTCGCGTGGCTTGGAGAAGTGCCTGGCTCGTGTGAATAAGCAGCTTATGCGGCACAAGATATTGCTGGTGCTGGACGATCGTGGACGCATTTCGTGCCACAAGGTCAACCTGTGCTTCCTGTACTTCGATGCGACGCAATGTGTAAACTTTTTAAATGAGTTCCTCGAGGCAACGGAGCAAAATGGTGGCGAGGCCATCAAGGCGGGCTGGGAGGCCAAGTTGGATATCGATGTGAATGATATTGTCATACAGGGCAGTCAGCCGGTGCGGCTGTCCAGGAAGCAGGTGCGTAGTAACTAGAGTAGAGATCAGCAAGAAGAGAGAGCTTAGACTATAGTTCGCTCACCCAATACGTACAGTTGTGCTCATGTTCATACACGCTCGCTCATTCGTCACACACATGGCTCTCGCTCTCTCTGTCCCTCTCTCCCTTCGCTCTCACTAGTGTAACATACACGTAACAACACACTCTCTACATAGGTTGTTGCTCAGGAGCTGTTCCTTAGCTATCTGCAGCGTTGGGGCAAGGACTTTCTGCGACGTCGCCTCGACTGGACCGTGCAGGAGGCGGGCGTGCATGAGACGCCGCGCCACTTACAATCCTCCATTTGTCCCTGTCAGTATGAGGAGGAGCTGTTGCGCAACAAAATAAAAATTCATCTGCAGCATCGTCAATGCTGTGGAATCAACTGTATGGGCTGTTGGCTGTAGATAAGGCAGTAGCCACAACTACAACAACTACTACCACTACGTGTACTTACAACGATTTTTTCCGAATTTCGATTTGTGTCCATTTTAGTGCAAAATTTCCAGTTTCCGCTTTTGTTAAATTTCATTGTAATTCTTTGTGTTTTAATGTGAACTTTTTCAATTATTAAAGCGCGCCAAAACCAATGTACATTTTTTATTATTAAATTCATAATTCATTTAATGCATTTTTAACAGAATGCTTTCTTTTCCAATTGTATTTTCAGCCATTTTATTGCGCAGCCTGAAAGTATGCTCGAAAATTTTCCATTTCCATTTCATACAGCACTTCCCTCTCACGCATTCAACTCTCACTTATATAATTGAACTGTTCAGTAACTAATATTCAATAACTAAAGCTTAGTATTCAGTTTGTGGCACGCCGACACTCCCATCACCTACTCTCTCACTTAAAACTTTGTCTCGCTTTGTGCCTCGCCTTTGCTCACCATCTTGCTCTCTCTCTTAGGAACGCGGCATGCAGCTCTTCCTGCGTTATGGCTCGCGTTGGGGCATGGAAGCTTTGCGAGGTCTGGTCGATGTTACGCCCTTGGAGCCGGGCCGCCATTGCGGCCAATTCCAATGCCCCTGTCAATATATCAAAGAGCATTTGCAGTGCAAACCGCGAGGCAAGTTCAAATTCTGCAACTTTGTGCATTGGGTGTTGGCATCCGAACGCTATGATTAGTAACTGTCTGTGTCGTTTACATACCTCGAAACCTATGTACATACATATACCTACACATTTAACAAATGTCTTGCGTCATGGCATGTTGAACTTTTCTAAAACGCCTTTGCAATACAACACGTTTCTCACTTGCGTTTTGACAAAACCTATTAATTTTTTCCATTTACGAATACAACACAAACAAACTTTATACATTCTTTTATATACTCCTTCCTTTTAGCCAATATTTGGCAATTTATGAATTTCAAATTACATTTGGCAGTTTTTTGCTTGGGCATGCTTTTACGTAAGGGGCAATATTGAAAGAGAATAACTTCGCAGTACTTATGTTCATTTGCAATGTTCGTTAGAAACACCTAAAATTCGTTATTACAAATACCAAAACGTTAAACAAAGGAATTACACCTTCATCCATAATTGAATATTTAAATCATTGGCAGGATAAAACTCAGGTTTTAAAGAGAGAACTTGTCTTGTCATAAAATTAATGCGAATTATAAGGTTATAGTTTCATTTTTCTGTTTTAATTTAATTTTTGCAATGTACATATGGAATTGAAATACAATTAGAAGTGAGAAACTTTGTTGTTCATACATTTATTTATTATATATACTTATTTAATAAGACAGATAAAAACCAGTTAGAAATTAGCCAAGCACATCAGGTCTTTAAATATACTTTGATACTACTTATGGGGAAACTACATTTCAATTAATTACTAAAAAAATGTTTTATGACATAGTACTTGTTATTAATTCCAATTAGTTTTTATTTAGCGCAGTCAATTTATTATCTGCCCCAAATAGTTTAACGGCTTTTTAAATCCTGTTAATATGGAAAAACATGTTTTTAGTTTCGTTTCCTTTTATTCCAGTATATATTTCAAAAATCAGTACATTTTATTCAGCATTTAGTGCTTTTTGCTTTTTGTTTATTATTTTTGATCAACAAAATTTCTTTTCTTTTGCGCCACACAACTTTACACTACTGTTTCAACAACCACAACAACCCGAACTATTCCTGTACACTTCTGGCACTCCGTCCGTAATGTAACACTAATATTAATAATGATCAGTTGCCATAAACAGTATCGGGCAAGTAGTTTGGACACGATTTCCCATAATTGGGGGCTGAAATTTGTTTCGGTGTTGGCACAAAAAAGCAAAAAAGAATCAGTGAATTTTTTATGGAATTGATTTACTCGATTAATTTTCTTATTATTATTATTACTATTATTACTATTTGTTGTTTCCTTAACCACAATGATATTAAAAAAGAAACCTACTAAGCATTTTCGATATTTAAACTTAAATGTACTTAAGCTTCTGCAGTGTTAAAATACAATTTTGAATTAAATTAAATCAATTTTGTAAAATTGCCAAAATAATTAAAATGATTTGATTGTTGTTCTAAAACTATGTTGTATGTAGTTATCTGGTGTTATTGTTTCTATTATGTTTTAAATCAATGTCCTCAAAATATAATATATTTTCCCTATTCAATGTGCGTCACCCTTGTTTTATTTTGTTTAAATTTAATTCCTTTTGTGTGTTTATTGTTAAACTCCTTTCACAGGTTATCCGTGTGCTTGCATTGTCTATGGTTCGGATCCCAGTTTCCAATATCGTTACTAGCTCAACCCATATCTGTATACATGTGTGCGTGCTGGTACAATTGACGTTTCATTAGGCATCTAACTAATGCATAAAACAGTTGGTGGTACAACAAGTGCAATTTTCGGGTTACATACATTCATACTAAACTAGTTAACTAATGATCAAAATAAAATTTATTTGCAAAATCAGATCAAATACGATTATATACTTGTACTTTGGCGAGGCCTTTTAGGAATGCTTATTGAAAATATATTCAGAGAACTCTTGAGAGAATAGGATGCAGATATTTTTGAACGTGAAGGCAATTGGAAATGAAAACCCCTCTTCATTCATTAAATTCAAATTTTCGAACTCTAGCCTTATACACTAAGCATTGAATTCTTATTAATTATTTTCTTAAGTATGTATTTACTATATATTTACATGGTTATTACTTAGGTCACCTATAAAACTACTTCTTAATCACTATTTCACAGTATTGTTTGAATGTATGTATGTATGTATTTGAGCAGAATCATATGACTAAAACAATTTACTTAAACTTAGCCTGGTTAGACTGCTTAATCTGCAGTTTAAGGTATTCATTGCAGATGAAGATTTCATGCATAATTTTTGTGGAACATTGAGCATATTTTTAGGTCAATTCTTTTTATAGTAGCTTAAACTCTTTTGTGGTAAAATCTAAGAAATCTCTTCAATGAATCGAAGAATTTTTTGTAGAGGGGAATCCCACATCCACATTTGTGTGCCTTTTTCCGCTACAGAATATACGAGCTTTAAAAACTGTAACACGACAGCTTAACTTGCATTTTCATTGACAACTAAAAAATATATATTTATACTCGTATAGTATCGCATTGTTGCTTGTTTTTAATAAAATTGTGTATTTAAAAATTCAGTTTGCCTCAGGAAATAACCCCCAAGTGATATGTAAAATGAAATTTAATAAAAACAATTTAAATAGTTTGGCAGTGCACGCAAAAACCTCAAAAACTTTTCTTTGTTGCACAAATCGTGCCGAGCTCACACAAAATGGCCGCCAGTCTGATGTGTATGCCACGTCACACACAACACATATATACAAACATATCTCAACTAAGTATGTACACAGCTACTGGAATACATTTGGCAAAACTTTGCTGGCCACGTGCTGCAGCAGCAGCAGCAACAACAACAACACAACAACATGTTCCATTTTAGTTATAATTGTATAATTTGTTATTGCATAATTAAACTGTATGCCCTGCCGCATTCTGTGGCACCTACTTCCCATCCACTGCCACTGCCATTGCTTCAGTCTGTGTTGCATGTGTAATGTGTCATTAACATGGTGCAAGTAGCCGTTTTAACGAGTTTTTGTTGTTAAATACCTATCACCTTATCATTTTTATTATATATATTTTTTTTGCATTCCAATTAGATTCCAGGCGTTTTTACTTGTGTTGAAAAAAAGAGAGTAGAGCTGTGAGTTTTATAGAATTTGAGTTATTTGTATATATTGAATTGTTTGTTTAGCCATGGGCTACCAATGATGGTGATTATACTCGTACTTCGAATTGTTATGTTTTAGAAACTATATTTAATGCAATTATAAGAAGTTATTAAGTCTCAGAGTAATAAAATGTGTCAATTGCAATGATAATTGAATGAAATATGATTTTATATAGTTCTTGGAATATTGTTGTGTTAGCGTTAAGAAAAACTGGATTATATACCAGCTGATTGATTATCTTTAGTAGTTAACAATTTGTGATTAGCTCGTAAGTCATTGCAACCTTACTGCTTTATAGCAACTAGTACCGATCTGAATATATTGGATGTGTTATTTATGTAAGGTTGAGTTGGAAGACCTGGCTCGCCGGCTTATAAGTTGAATCAGCAGTCAGTCCGCGCAGTCCCCTGGTTGGGTATAATTAAGAACATCTTTAAATATGATTTAGAAAAAGAGAAAAATTAGAAAAATTAAAATTAAAATCAGTACACCATTTTTTTCGCATTAATTCATAAATGATCCGTCAATAAGACAAATAATTTTGATTTATTCAATTCTGCACGTAAATCAAGTAAAATAAGTAGAAAATGGTTTTTTTAAATGATAAAATGTTTGCTTATATTTTGGCATATTGATTCCACAAGGAAACTTGATTCAGTACTCATTCCCATTCCAACAGAAGTACGCACTTGCTACCTAAAATGCAGTGAAATAGCTTTTAACAATGCTTTGCCACTTGTGCCCATTAGCGAGGGCTAAACAAATCTAAAAGCAAACTACCGAACAATCTGCTCTAGAGTGTTGCTTTATTTTCAAATACGATTTCACGCTCTAATAAAACAAATTCAAACTTTGCTGGCAGCGAGAAAGTGTGCAAATAAACAAACCAAAAAAAAGAGGAAGCATTTAATTTTTTGTTAAACTTCATTAAACTCGATGCGCTTCGAGGTAACTGGCGAAGTTTGAAAAATTCAGCAAACTGGTTCGTTCGCCCCATTGTTCGTGTTGGCCCCCAAGCTGCACTTCAAAGCAATGCACCGAAAAACAAGCGCCTAAAATGCACCGAAGCCTACTGTATAAAAAAAAGGATAGACACCAATACACGAGCGTCTAAACTAATCACAAACAAACATGCAAACACACACACACACACACACACATACTCGTACGCTCACTCAGGTACACCTGCATTCCGAGAGAGATCCTCAGCGGCTCAACCATGTGTAGCTGAGGTCTGTGGCTCATCAAAGTTTTGCCAGCTCCACTCAGGCTCCGGTTTGTTTCTGTTGTTCTTGTTGCTGTTGTTGCTGTGTTTTTCGGGAAATTCAATTCAATTGTGATTTTCATTTGAATTA